ACTGGTGACGGCTGGAGAGTCCGGAACTGGCCGTTTTAGTCTTCCTCGTCTTTGGTAACTGCTGTTGCATAAGAAAATGTTAGTAGCATTTCCCTCTCAGCCTCTTTCCTTTTTGGAAACCGATGATCTGGCTTGCCAGACTCGCTATCTTTTGGCTGTATTCTACAGCACATATAGGCCTGTAGGCAACATGTCTTCCACACAGTTTTCTATAATCCTTGTTCAGAGCGTGATTATTTGCGAACCCTTTCAATTCTGTGAGTCCAAGTCGTCTGTTGTTGACCGCCGGAGCAAGCACTCCAAATTGTTGCTATGAGAGCGTAGGAGCAGGCAAGTCAGATGTCCAATTTTGATTAAGGCAGGTCTTGGCATGAACTATCTTCGGCAATCTCTCGAGGTCTCTCTCGAAAGTATTCTCGAACTGACTTAAGTGAGGATGTAGTTTATGCGGAATGAAGACAGCTTCGTATCCTCATTTAAAATAAGTTAAAACCATAAGTAAATGGGCTTGGATTGAAGAGACGAGAAATGCGGCCGTCGGTTCAGAAACTGTTATGCATCAGGACCTTCCTGTGAACAAGACGATCGTGCGTAGCCTCGACACTGGTGTTTCAGTCTTACATTGGCCAGCGTAGGAGGAAGCATAAACGTTCACCATATTTATAGTAGTAGTTTTATTACTAGGAATGGAAGGCTTTTGAGTCAGTAGGCTGGGTCGCATCACGCCATGATGCTTATAGTTGCCCACAGAGAGATTTGTACACTACAGTCTCGTGAACACTTTCGAGAACTCTGGCTCGCAGTTGATCCTTCCCCCCTCACCACATTCCAGTGTTCTGTCATTAACTAGCATACAGAAACTGCTAAGTAGGACAGGCAGGTGCTTATTTCCTCAAAATCACATGAGCAACAGCGGTGTTCATTTATGCCTTGCGTATAGGTTGAATGCTGACGTGATTCAACCGATTTGGCCTAAGTCGGTGATTATGCCTAGCTTCGAGGTCGACTGTTCGATTACTTGGATCCACCAACATCTCTACAGTCCTACGGGGAATCGGGGCTTATCTCACGTGCCCAGGGGTATATCACTAACGCTTTTCTCATGAAGTAGGTTGCAATTCACAGTCCGGAGTGCAACTTTTACATCTGATTATTCTCACACCCTTCTTCAAATGATAGAACCAGGCTTGTACATCACGTCCATTCCAGGGCATGTAACGCCATAAGTTAGCT